GCCGCCCGGTCCCGTCTAGGTGGGAGGCCGGTCATGGGGCGGTGCCGCCGGTTGGTCGGAAGGAGCAGAGCTCACGAGGTTCTTGCGCCGCGTCTGCTGGGCGCGGGCCGCAGACGAGGGATTGCGGGGTCCCGGTCGCTGGGGAGAACCGCGGGTGAGGCGGATAACGGGGTGCAGGGCGCGAGGCTCTGGAGCCGGGGGCGTCGCTGAGATGCGCTGACAGGCGGAGCCCCCGACTCCCTGCTCCGGTCTCCCCAGAATTTTGTGGGGTGCTTAGAGGGGAGGGTTAGGGCCCCAGCCTGTCTGGTGGCTAAGGTCTGGGGCACATGTGGTCTTTTTGTTACTGTTGTTCATCGGTTTACAGTATTTTGTTCATTAGGTTCCAGGTGAGTGATATCATGCGATACTTGTCTTTCTCTGACTGGCTTATTTCACTCAGCACAATACTCTCCAGGTCCCTCCACGCTGTCCCAAAGGATAAGGGATCCTTCTTTTTCATGGCTGCATAGTATTCCATGTAAATGTCCATAGTATTCCATGTTGTAAATGTCCAAGAAGATGCTTGATATGATTTCAGTCTTCTTGAACTTGTAGAGACTTGTTTTGTGTCCTAACATGTGGTCTGTCTTTGAGAATGTCCCATGTGCAGTTGAAGAGAATGCATATTCTGCAGCTTTGGGGTGATATGTTCTGTAAATGTCAGTGAAGTCCATCTGATCAAGTGTGTCATTTAGAGTCACTGTTTCCTTGTTGATTTTTTGTCTGGAAGATCTAGCCAGTGAAGGCAGTGGGTGTTAAAGTTTCTACTGTGACTGTATTGCTGTTGATCTCTCCTTTGAAGTCGGCCAGAAGTTTGTTTTTCCCCCAGCCTGTGTGAGTCTTTTCTTCTGATGTGGGTCTCTTGTAGACAGCATATATTTGGGTCTTTTTAAAATCCATTCAGCTACCGTATGTCTTTTAATTGGGACATTTAATCCATTTATATTTAAGGTTATTCCTGATAGGTACTTACCTATTGGCATTTTATTTCCTTATGCCTATGTTTCTCGTTCTCTCTATTCCAACTACCTTTTTATTTTTTAAAAATATCTTTATTGATTTCAGAGAGAGGAAGGGAGAGAGGGAGAGAGAGTTAGAAACATCAGTGATGAGAGAGAGTCATTGGTCAGCTGCCTCCTGCATGCCCCACACTGGGGATCAAGCCCACAACGCAGGCATGTGCCCTGGCCGGAAATTGAACCATGATCTCCTGGATCCTAGGTCAGTGCTCAACCACTGAACCATGCCCGGCTAGGCTCACCATCTATTTTGAATGATAGCCTTGCTGGATAGAGCAGTCTTGGTTTCATTCCTTGCTTTGCATTACGTTAAATACTTCATGCCACTCCCTTCTGGTCTGTAGAATATCTGATGAGAAATCAGCTGACAGCCTTATAGGAGTTCAATTATAGGTTACAAATTGCTTTTCTCTTTTCTCTGCCTTTCAGATTCTCTCTTTGTCTTGAATTTTTGGCATTTTAATTATGATGTGTCTGGGAGTGGGCCTCTTTGGATTCTTCTTACTTGGGACTCTCTGTGCTTCCTGAACTTGTGTGACTTTTTCCTTCACTTGGTTAGGGAAGTTTTCTGCCATTATTTCTTCAAACAGGTTCTCTAACCCTTGCTTACTTTCAACCTCTTTTGACGCTCCTATAATGTGAATATAGTGATGTTTCATGTTGTCCCACAGCTACCTTAAACTGTCCTCCCTTTTTTTATTGTTTTTTCTTTTTGGTTCTCTGATTGAGTGACTTTTTTCTACCCTGTCTTCTAATTTGCTGATCTGATCCTCAGCTTCCCCTAATCTGCTGTTCATTTTTTCCAGTGATTTTTTAAAAAATGTCTATGTCATTCTTAATTTCCTTCATAGCTTCTGTATCTTCTTTAATGCCGTTGAGCATCTTTATGATCAGTATTCTGAACTTTGTATCTGACAGATTGCTTATCTCTATTTCATTTAGCGCTTTTTCTGGAGAATTCTTTTGTTTTTTCATTTCGGGCTTGTTTTTTTGTCTCCCCATTTTGGCTGCCTGTTTGGATTTGTTTCTATGTATTAGGTAGTTCTGCTAGGACTCAGTTTTTTGGAGGGTATCTGGTGCAGGTCAATGTCTGATGTTTGTGACTGGCCTTGAATACCCTGTTTGAAGTTTTCCACCTTCCACAGCTTATGGTATACTCTGCTGGGGCTGGGTGTGGCATGGAGACCATCAGGACGGGTTTTAAGGAAGGTTAAGTGGAGAGAGGATGTTGTGGCTGCTGAGGGGACAGCACAGAATCGGAAAGGGGTCGGGGGCAACAGAAATTCACATGTGCTTCTGGGAGGCTAATGTTGAAGCAAGGACTAGATATATAGAGGAGGCCTTCAAAGCAGCATCTCCCCAAATGCATAGCTTTGGGATTGCAACTGGGGAGTGAAGGTGGGAGAGGTACAATCTACAGAATGATGTGCATATTTAGTGGAAATTATGGTCCCAGGCCCCTAATATTGGGGATTGGATGGTGAAGCGAGAGCCTACCCCTGGCTGTATCTTGTCACAATCTAGAGACCCCAAGGGGAATTAATGACAGAATGGATGGGACCCTGCAAGCCAGGACCAGAATTGGGTTACATCTCTGTGCCTTCCTGCCTGATGATGCTGAAAGCTGAACTTAATGAATAAAGAGATCCTGAGGGTAGGGTGGGCATCAGTGGCACCTGGGTATGGAGTTCCCCGAGGTGGGGAGCTTTGGGAGAGGATGAGTGTGGCATAGATGTGTGGGAAGATGGGTTGTGGGTGATCAGAGACCAAATGCTCATGGTTTTTCCTCTGTTCTCATAGCAGGCCAGCGTGATCTTTGAGGACGTTGCTGTGCACTTCTCGTGGGAGGAATGGAGGCTGCTTGATGAGTCTCAGAGACTTCTATACCTGCATGTGATGCTGGAGAACTTTGCACTTGTATCTTCTCTGGGTAAGACTCACCACCTCACCAGTGACTTGGACTAGACTCTACTTCCTCCATCCAAACTTCTCTCTCAGTCCTCAGGTGTGGACCACAGGCACTGCTTGCTTCCCTCGTTGTCTGGGTAGTTGCTGTATTCCTAGGGCTGGCGGTTCGCACTGTTCTCTTCATTCCCCTGCAGTCCCAATACTGAAACCTTTTATTTTTTACCCCATACCCCAATATTGAACCCTTTTAGGAAGAGATTCAAGGTCAGTATTATTGCATTGAGCTTAATGATTTCACCATGCAATGGATTCACCATGCTTGCCCTCTCAATGTGTGGGTTAATGTTTCCAGATTCATATCACTTCTGTATGCCAGGGTTTGATCCTTTTTTTTATCTGTCATTTCCTCCTGCCTACCTGTGCCAGGAGTTGCAGGTGTTGTCATGCTCAATTATTTGAAGCATGGGCTTTTCTTTAATACTCTCTTGCACAGTATGTAGGGTTTGATCTGTTTTCCTTTTTTCTCTCTTAGCTTTGTCAAGATAAATATTTGTGTGCATTGTGCTGATTTTATATATATTGTGAAATAATTGCTGTAGTGAAGTTTAACATTCACCGGGGCCGGAGATTGAGCCTACAACCGAGGTGTGTGCCCTTGGCCAAAATCGGACCTGAAACCCTTCAGTCTGCATACTGGTGCTCTAACCATTGAGCCATACTTGCTAAGGCAGTTTTCAATTTCTCGCTTCCTCTCTTCACCTCCAGTATCCCTGTGACGTGAACGTTGGTACACTTCAAGTTATCTCAAAGGCTCCTTATGCTCGTCTAATTTTTTTGGATTCATTTTTCCTTTTGGTGTTTTTTGCTTCCTTATATCCCAAATCGCTGATTTTATTCTTGGCTTCTCTTCTCCACTGTTGATTTGCTGTAAATTATTCATTTCAATTAGTGTATTTTTCATATCTGACTGGTTCTTCTTTATGCTGTTGAGGTAATTACTATGTCTTTGACCATCCTTATAGCCAGTATTTTGAACTGTGCATCCTAGTAGATTGCTTGTCTCCATTTTGTTTTGTTCTTAAAAAAAAAAAAATCTTTATTGATTTCAGAGAGAAGAAGGGAGAGAGAGATAGAAACATCAATGATGAGAGAGAGTTGTTGATCAGCTGCCCCCTGCACGCCCCCCCAGTGATGATTGAACCTGCAACCTGGGCATGTGCCCTGACTGGGAATCGAACCACCAGCTTTGACACTTTGTCGACTTTTCCATTCTACTACTCATTTCTACTGTGGTTTCTAGCCCCAGGGATATTTCCACCTCTTTTCAGTCCCCATATTACCCGTTCTCTGACCGCTGTTTCTTCAGTCCTCTTCAACATTGTCCCTCACGTGTGCTGTGAGATGTTCACAAATCCCTATATTGACTTTGGACAGTAGCTAAAACCTTGCAATTAAATGCTGATGGGCTTGGATGCATGCTTCTACCCAGCCTCACATCAGTCCTAGAAAAGGACATGAAGCATGCTTTTGGTAGAGGAAATACATTGTGTGTCCTGCCTCTCTTCCTGTGTCAAACCCTGTCAGTGTATCCTTCCCCGGTGGAGTTTCCACCATTTTGTGAACTTAGACCCCAGTGATACACAACAGTCAGCCAGTCCTTCAGCTGTATATTTTTGTTCTGAAAAACATTTCATGTATTCAGGCCTCCATGTGACACATGAATATGTATGATGTGTTTCTCCCGTTCCTTTAGTCAACATGTAATTCACCAGCATTTCTTTGCCTTCAGGTTGCTGCTGTGGCGCAGACAGTGTGGAAGGCCCCACTGAACAGAGCGTTTCTGTTGGAGTGTCAGAGGCAAAGAATCCCAAGGCAGCTTCACAGCAGAGACACCCATGTGAGAGTTGTGGCCCAGTCTTAAGAGACATTTTTCACTTGGTTGAGCATCAGGAAAAACAACATAGCCAGAAACTTCTGAGGTGTGGGGCATGTGCAAAACGATTTTATTTCAGTGTGAACTGTCACCAGCATGAGGGGCAGCACATGAGAGAGAAACCCTTCAGAAGTAGCGTGGACGATTCTTCATTTGTGAAGACTTGCAGAATCCATGTGTCAAGGAAGCATGAGCAGCAACAGGACATTCATAAAGTGAAGGAGCCAAACAAAGGCACCCAATGGGAAGCAACTTTACAAAGCAGAAAACGTCTTTACACTTCAGGAAAGTCCAAGAAAGCATTTAACCCCCAACACATACTTGTTCAGGACCAGGATGTCCATATTGGGAGACAGTGTTTTGTCTGCAGTGAATGTGGAAAAACATTCAAGTATAAATCCTCATTTGTTAAGCACTGCACAGTCCACACTGGAAAAAGTTTTCCTGTGTGTGGCAAAAGTCGAAAATCCTTTAGTGGCAGCTCAACTGTCAGTCAGCATCAAAAAATTAATACAGCAGCAAAGCAGTACAAGTGCAGCAGATGTGGAAAACCCTTAAGCCACAAGCCTGTCCTCATCCGTCCTCAGGGATGGCACAATGGAGAAAATAGTTATGTGTGCAGTGAATGTACACCATCGTTTAGTCCTAGCTCAGTGGACATTCAATATCAGAGAGTTCAAACTGGAGAAAAGCCTTATAAGTGTAATGACTGTGACAAATCTTTTACCTCTGGTGCTGGCCTCAGGTATCATAAGAGCTCTCACACTGGAGATAGGCCTTATGTGTGCAGTGAATGTGGGAAATCTTTTATCACTCGTACTGCTCTTCATTGTCATCGAAGAGTTCACACTGGAGAAAGGCCCTTTCAGTGCAGTGAATGTGGGAAATCGTTTACCGTTAGCTCCAGTCTCCGTCGTCATCATAGAGTTCACACTGGAGAAAGGCCATATGACTGCAGCACGTGTGGCAAGTCTTTTACTAATAGCCATGCCCTTCGGCATCATGAGCAATGCCACCTAGGAAAAAGGCCTTATGAGTGCAGTGAATGTGGGAAATCTTTTACCATTAGCTCTTACCTCCATTGTCATAAGAGAGTTCACACAGAAAAAAGACCTTATGAATGTAGTACATGTGGGAAATGTTTTAAAATTCTGTCTAACTTCCGGTCTCATCAAAAAATTCATTTAGGAGAAAGGCCTTATGAGTGTAGGGAATGTGGGAAATCTTTTACCAGGATCTATGGCCTTCGTTGTCATGAAAGACTTCACACTGGAGAAAGGCCTTATGAGTGCAGTGAATGTGGGAATTCTTTTTTCACAAGAAGTAGCCTTGGGAAACATCATCGAATTCATTCTGGAGAAAAACCTTATGAGTGCAGTGAATGTGGGAAATCTTTTGCCAGTAAGGACAGCTTCTCCTATCATCAGAGGGTTCACACAGGAAATAAGCCTTTTGAGTGCAGTCAGTGTGGAAAATCTTTTGCCTCTTCTTCCACCCTCCGTTATCATCAGAGAGTTCACACAGGAGAAAGGCCTTATGAGTGCACTGATTGTGGGAAATCCTTTATCTGTATTTCTGAACTTCGTTATCATCAGAGAGTTCACACAGGAGAAAGACCTTACGAGTGCAGTGAGTGTGGCAAATCTTTTATTTGGAGGAAAAGCCTTTATAATCATCAGAGTTCACACTGCAGAAAGGCCTAATGAGCACAGTGAATGTGGGAAATCTTTTGCCCATAGTAACACCCTCTCATCTTCAGAGAGTTCATTGAGGAAAAAAGCCAAACAAATGCTGATATTGTGGAAAATCTTTTGTCTCTGGTTTCACCCTTATCATTAGTGGTGGGTTCGTGCAGGTGAAAGGCCTCATGGGCGCAGTCAATGTGGAAAATTTTTCATCTGTAATTCCAAATGTTGTTATCAGACTTCACACTAGAAAAAAGCCTTAAATATGCCAGGAATGTGCAATTTTCTCTTCAGTGTAACAACCCAGCAGGAAATTCCTTGAGGAGCCAGTTGTGTGAATTGAAACTGATACCTCTGGATATGCACAGTGGGGCTGTTCCCCATCAGGTTCATTTATATAGGAAGAATGTGTTTTTTTTGTTTTTTATTTATTTTTTTAATGTATCTGTATTGATTTCAGAGAGAGGAAAGGAGAGGGAGAGAGAGAGAGAGAAACATCAATGATGAGAGAGTCATTGATCGGCTAGCCCGCAACCCAGGCATGTGCCCTGACCGGGAATCGAACCCCGATTGCCTGGATTCTAGGTCGACACTCAACAGCTGAGCCATGCCTGGCCAGGCGTTTTTAAATGTTACACTTTCTGACTTGCCCAAGGCACTTCCTAGGTTTATGTTGCTGCTAGTTTGGCTAAAGTACTTTCACCTTTCCCACCAGACATTCCACAGACTTTGCAACAGTCAACACCCTAATGTGCTCAAGGAAGCTGATTTCTGGTTCACGTGTATTGTATAAGAGGAACCTGAGCCCTTAGCAGTCAGCTTTTCCTTTATGATTCATTTGGACGTGGATTTGGTTCCGTGTAGGCCCAGAGAATATCAAGTTCACTGGCAGCTTGCAGAGAAATAACTGCATGTTGTCCTCATGTGATACCTGTGATCAGCTTTTCCAGTTTCCATTTCATGAACTTGGGACATGCCTGCTGCACATCGCTTTGGTTTGTACAATAATCAAGGCCTTAGTCTTTTAATTACCTTTAATCTTGGTGGTTCTTTTTAGTGTATGAGGTAGTTTATAAATGGATTTGGCCTCTACAAGCATGAAAGGGTGAACATTTTAGTAGTCTCCAACTTTCTCTGCTTGTGGAGGGACTGTATGATAGGAGGAAATAACTTGCCAGTTTTGACCAAATTTGCGTGGCTGTCCACAGCCCCATAGGAGGGACTGAAGGGCTTTCTGGTCCTCTTGAATTCTATGTGTTTTAGGAGTCTTAGAGACTCTGATGAGGGGGCCAGTATGAGAGCCTCACATACTTATGAGAGTAGGAGGAGACTTGACAAAGCCAGGCATCTACCAGATGAGCCTTCTGGCTGATTGGAGGTTGCAGAGCCTCCACAGGCTGGAGACATTAGAATCTAGGCATGCCAGAGTAGAGGGATCTGTCTGAACACGTTGCAAGGTTTTGGAGACTTTGGCCTCACCTAAGTACCAGAGCAGACACACTTCATTCTCAGTTGTGTCCTCAGACCCCACTCATACTTTTTAAGGAGTTTTCACTTCTGAACAGTCCCATGTGATTTTCATCTTTTCTGTAATTGTTGGTCTTCAACAGGTGTTTACCTGCCATGTTTACCCTTTGGGGCTGTTTTTGTAGACACCCTGACCCCAGGAAGACATACTGGGCACTGGGGTCACTGCTGTCTCTTCTGTCCCTGATGGGGCCTCTGAGAAGGAATAGGCCCAAAAGCAGCTGGGTAGATGGTCCTCTGGGCATGCCATGTGCGGCGGGGCCCACATCACACTCTCCCTACTCCTGCATCCCTGAGGGTACCATGCAAGCCCTTTTCCTCTGTGGATGCAGGCACTTCAAGTCACAGTGCCATGTGTGATCTGAGGCCTCATCTTGGAGGGGACAGAAAAGAATGGGGTGAGCCAGGTTGAGTGCAGGATAGGCGTTGCTGGGGACCACAGTGAGGAGCCACAGACTCATTGTACTTGTGATGGGAGGTCAGGGGTGACCTGGGAGCCAGTGGGAAGATAAGTTGCACCCCTGCCCAGAAGTGATTTACGGTGGACCTTTCTTGCTTAGCTCCTGCTTTTCCCACTTGTTTTTAAGGTGGTGTGCATCTCGTTTTGCTTCGGGATGTGCAAAAGGCAGACTCTAAATCCTCAATGATTTTGTTTTCCGACATGTATTAAGGGAGAAAATGACAGTACAGATTGGTAAAATGTCACTTTATTTGAACACCCCCATGTAGCAATCTATTCATGTGCAAAAAGCAATTTAAATGGGGACTGTCTTTCAAGCATTGATTTTTTTCCAGGAGGAAGATGATTAAAGAGGTCTTTCTCCTGTGTTCATAAAAGGGGTAGTAATCCATTAATAAACAATAGAAATTTGGACATTCTGTACCTTTTTCTGTGTGTTTTTTCCTTATTAAGATAATGTGCTAAACTCTTGTAACCTCAGTTGTGAAATCCCGCAGCTGTAGAGGAGATCTATGTTAATCACGTGGTCTCAGGTGCCCCGGCCACAGAAACCACAGCAAGAGACGCAATTCCTTTTGCTCTGCATCTGTGTTTTTTAAAAAAATATGTTTTCATTGCTCTTTATTGATATTGAAGAGGGAGAGAGAGATAGAAACATCAATGATGAGAGTGTCATTGATTGGCTGTCTCGTGCACACCTCCTGCTGGGAATCAAGCCCACAACCCAGGCATGTGCCCTGACCAGGAATCCAACCTAGATCTCCTGGATCATAGGTTGATGCTCAACTGCTGAGCCATGTAAGCTGGGCAAGAAGTAGCATTTTTAATGACTCCCTAGGGAGCACTGATGGACAGGAGCAGTGCAGAGGTGAAACCCTGAGGAGTTGACTAGGGAACATCAAGCTGCTTCCCTTCTGTTCCAGTCCATAGGGCTGTTGATGTGCACACTTGGAGAGAGCACCGGAGCTAATGTTTTGAGTGGACACCCTCTAAGTGTCTCCAGTGAGCCAAGCTGCCTAATGGCAAAAAGGGCTCATATTTCAGGCCCTCCACTGCTGAGGAGTCCCCTGTGGGCTCTAGACACTGAAGCCACCTGCTTCTTTGGCTTGGAACTGTAATTAAACAGGAGGCCAATAGACTGAGGTGACTCCAATGCCATGCAGCCTACAACAGCAAACTGCAATATTTAAACTCTTGTAAATTTAAAGCCCTAGCCGGGTTGCTCAGTGGTTAGAGCATTGGCCCATGGACTGAAGGGTCCCTGGTTTGATTTCGGCCAAGGGCACATACCGACCTTGGTTGCGGGCTCTATCCCTGGCCCCAGTTAGGGCGCATGTGGGAGGCAATCAATTGATGTGTCTCTTTCACATCAATGTTTCTCTTCTACTCTCTCTGAAAAGCAATGGGAGAGAATATCCTTTGGTGAGGATTACAAAAAGAGAAATCGAGGCCTGTCTGGGTTCACCAATTGGAGCATCACTCCATACACTGAAAGATTGCAGGTTGGATTCCTGGTCAGGGCACACACCTAGGTTGGGGGTTGGATATCCGTCAGGGTTTGTACAGCAGGCAGTGGATCGATGTTTCTCTCTTCACTTCTCTCTCTAAAATCAATTAAAACATATTGTTGGGTGAGTGTTAAACAAAAAAGGAAACATACCTAAGGATTACAGCCAATTGCAAACAACCAACTAGGCTCTCCCAAATGAGGCAACTGCTTAAGCTATAGCCAATCGAATAATTTCCTTGCTTTACCTCCTTTCTGCTTAAGGAAAGCCTTTCCCCTAGTCTGGTTTGCTGCTGTCTGTCTGGAACGGATGTTTGCTCAAATAAAACCTTCAGAATTTTAATGTACTTCAGTTTATCTTTAAAAACATATTCTACACCCCCTGCTTCCCAGAAAGGAATTCCCACAGGGGCCATCCTTGCCTATCGTGCTCTTAGTAAGGAGGTCTTCCTTACTGCTCTCTGCAACACTGTTAGAGCCCATCCCTTTTGGAGAGATGGGTGCTTGAGGTGTGTGATGTTGACTCTTGGAAGTGCAAACAAAATATTTTCTTAGCCCAGAAATCCTCTCTACAGAGCTAGTAGAGACAGAAGGAATTTTGTTAGGACATAACCATTTAGCCAGAGTTTGATGTGCATGACAATCCACTAAGAAATTCCAAACACAGACAACCCTCACCCCTGTATCTAGCTAAGGAGATAAAGCACATCATGTGTATGTGTTCAAAATAAACATAACTAGTCTTCAAGTCAGTGGACGTCACAGCACCATTTGTCAGGCAGAGCTCGTCCTGACGCTACCTGGTAACTGACGTGCCTCTCTGTTAGCTTTGGGCTTTAACCAGAGGGTCCATGTAAGAAAACATTCACACCTGCAGATAATTTTTGTGAGTTTAGTTGGTCCAGTTGCCAGAAAGCGGAAACCTCAATGGATTGAGATAAATGGCAGTTTTGCAACCTGCTCTAAACAGGAGGAGAGTTGCCGGGCTGGTGTTGCTCAGTCGGTTCGGGGACGGCCCGGCCCCAGGAGGTCGGAGGTTCGGCTCCCGGTGGGTGCCTGGCCCGGCTTCTGCTCGGTCCCCATAGGGGTGTGCAGGCCGCCAACTGAGGTTTCCCTGTCTCGCTCTCCCTCTCTAGCTGAAGTAAATTTAAAATATATGTGAATTAATAAAACATACCCTCAGGTTAGGACTGAAGAGAAGGATTCAAAATATAAACAATAAAAGGATAGAACTTGCACTTTGGCAGGATTGTCCAGAAAGAAACCTCCAGCAGCCCGGCTGCGGGACCTGCCCTCGCAGCCCGAGAGCCCTGGGAACTCCACGGCCCAGCAGCCCGTGCGCGGGGCGGGCCAATGACAGGCCGCTGCGGGCGGCCCCGGTGACGTCATCACCGGGGCGGGACGCTCGGTGTCCGAGT